TATTCTATAGATATTCACTAGTCACTAGACCCATGTTGTCCGGATCCTTGTTCAGAGTTTTTTTGTCTTTACTTATTTTTTGTCTTGTTCATCTGTCCATTGTTGAGAGTGGCATGCTGAAGTCTCCTACTATGTATGTATTCTCTCTGATAAACATTTTCATGGATGGCAGTAGTTTCCTGATATATTTTGGTACTCCTTCATTTGGTGCATATATATTAATGATTGTTATTTCTTCTTGTTGTATTGTCCCCTTAATCATAATGTAGCGGCCTTCTGTATCTCTTTTAACCTATTTTAGTTTGAAGTCTATATGATCTGATATAAGTTTACCAGTTCCTGCTTTCTTTTTTTGGCCCATTTGCTTGTAGGATTGTTTTCCATCCTTTTATTTTCAGTCTCTTTTCATCTTTTGTAGTTAGATGTGTTTCCTGTAGACAGCAGAATGATGGTTTCTGTTTTGTAATCCATCCTGGAACTCTGTGTCTTTTTACTGATGAGTTTAAGCCATTTACATTAAGAGATAATATTGGTATACTGACACCTACATTTTGCCATTATGGTCCTTCTGTATTTTTATTATTCCTTGTTTTGAACTGTTCTTGTTCATTCTCCTGTTGGATTTGGTTTGAGGGCTTCTTGTACCAGTTTTTGGAGTGGGGATTTAGTCATGAAGAAATTGGGGAGTTTCTGTTTGTCTGAGAATGTCCTTATTCTTTCTTCGTGAGGAAGGAGAGCTTCGCAGGGTAGAGTATTCCTCTTTGTAGAGGAAGGAGAGCTTCGCAGGGTAGAGTATTCTTGGTTGGCATTTATTGCTTTGGAGTTTGTTAAGAATGTCCCTCCATTCTCTTCTTGCCCGTAGTGTTTCTTCAGAGAAGTCTGATGTCATCCGGATCGGTTTCCCTTTGTAGGTTATTTGTTTCTTCCCTCTTGTCATTCTCATTATCTTTTATCTTGCAATTTTTATTATAATATATCTATCTGTTTTTCTCCTCTCATCATGGTAGTTTGGGGTTCTTCTTGCTTCTTGGATGTCTACTTTCATCTCCTTCTTTAAATTAGGGAAGTTCTCTTCTATTATCCCTGTTCTATTTCTCAATCCCTTGGCCTTTGTCTTCGCCTTCTGGGATACAAATAACTCTGATACTTCCTTTCCTAATGGTGTCAGATAGCTCTTGATGTGTTTCCTCATTCCTTTTCCTTTTTACTTCTCTTTTTCTTTTTTAATTCTCTTTTTTCTGTGCCTTTGAGGGTGCTGATTTGTTGACAAAGGAGCACAACACATCTGCGGCTGCTAGGGCAAAGGTCAGCAACACTTCTGCAGTATATCCTCGGGTCTCTGGTTCAAGATGCAGCTTTTTCCCACAATTTGGTTTCTTTTCCCTAGCTGATTTGTTTCAGTTTATCTCCAGGGTTGTAGCAGTGGTGGGGCAAAAGCTGCTGAGCAGCAGTAGCTACCGCTGCAGGCAGTTTCCCCTTCAGTGCTTCCTGCATCTAGGCGCCTATGTATTATTATTTTTTTAAGGTTTATTTATTTATTCATACAGAACTAGGGTACAGGCCAGAGATGCCGAGGGTGAGAGGATTCACCAGGGACAGAGTGGGGAGCAGAACAGCAGATCCACAAAGTACACTGCTGAGGGGAGCAGCGGGCAGGTCAGGAGAGGTCTGCCAAGCCATTTGGACCTACTCTGGTGCAGGCGGGGATCAAACTCATGCAGAAGTGTCTTAAGCTTCTTAGTGCAGTGATTTAACCCACTGTAGGCACCTAGATTTTTAAAGGAGCCGAGAGAGTAGGAAGCCACTGGCATTCCCAGATCAGAGTTGCAGGGCTCAGCTAATACTGCCTGTGCAGCTTCCATTATGGGCACCCCCCATCCTGGTTTTCCCTCAGTTATTTTCCTTCTAGTGAGTCCAGGGCATTCTCATTTGGGTTGAAACTCGTAGCATGTAAGTCTATAGTCTGTTTTTATATAATTCCGTGTGAGTTTGGATGTAGTCGTCTTGGAGTCTTTATTCTGCCGCCATCTTTGCCATTGGAGCTGGTCAAGCTGATCAGCGGCTTTGCGTGGTGCTCAGGCACTCCCAATAGGGTCTGCAGTTTCAGTGGTTTTTCCCTGTACCCAGGAGTTATGGATCAGATCTGCAGTCTTTCAGCAGCCTGGGCTCCACTCACTGTATGAGCAGTCCCCATTTACCTCCAGCATTTAGCGTGGGGCAAAAGGGCTCCTGAAGCCCAACAAACTTCCAGGAGCCTGGGTTTTCCTGGGAGTTCCCAGGAGGGAGCTCCCCAATCGCGGATTCCCCCTCAGTTATCTACCTTCTAGTGAATCCAGGAGTTTTCCTTTGGGCTGAAACTCTCAGTAAGTAAGTCTATAGTCCGTTTTCAGTCCTTAATTCCTATGCAAGCCTGGACGCAGTGATCTGGGCGTCTTTACTCTGCCTCCATCTTCTGGAAGTCCCTTAAGCTAGATTTTAATCAGCTTCAACCATACTCTCTCCTGGAAAGACATCTGTAGAGCTGTAATACTGGCTCTGTCTTATAGCACCTTTGCAGATTTGACATCCAATAGAACCTACTGAATGAAACTGTTGCTATTAAGTGTCTCTAAAAGACACTAGCATTTCTAAGAGCTGAAACTTCCTACATTTCTAGCACCACTACTTCTGGTGCAGTGCTACTACTTCTGGTATAGTGTGGAGTCCAGTGCTCCCCAAACCAGCCTTCAGGCTGCTGGTGCTGATTACTGTAGTGCTACCTCAAAGACAACTTTTATAGACCTTTACAACAAACGTATGACAATCCTATGTAGTTATCTCAAACCTTCACAGGCCTTCACAGACCTTCAAGAACTTTGCAGGTCTTCAACCTTCACATATGATCTCTTTTTCAAACCACTGCCTAACCACTGCTTCACATATGATCTCTTTTTCAAACCACTGCCTAACCATTGCTACCTCTAATCCTGTCTCTAACTCTATACTTTCTCCTGATTTCTTTATCTCTCTCCTCTTTGCAAATAAACCTTATTGTTGAATCCTGAGGTTGAGTTTGTCCTGTAATGCAGTCATAAACACATGGATGAGGGGCCGCTATGACATTTTCCCCTCAGCCTTGCATTTCAAAACCATGGAGGCCAGAAAAAAAAGTAGCACAATAGTTTTCAAGTGTAAAATGAATGTTAATTGTCAACTCAGAATTTTATACTAAAATATCATTCAGGAATGAAAGGATAAAGGAAGACATTATCAAATAAAGGGAAGATTAAGAGAAGTTGTCAACAGCAGACCTAATCTTAAAAGGATGGTTAAGTAGAATTCTTTAAGCAGAAAAGAAATGCTTTGAAAATAGGAACCTGGCAATACCAGTTAAGATGTAGATAAATACAACATACTGAGATACTGAGAACCAAAGTAAATAAGCCAGAGCTATGGGACTTTAAAAAGTCTAAAACTGGCCCTCCCTGGTGGCACAGCGGGTTAAAGCACTGCACTAAGAAGCTGAAACCACTTCCGCATGCCTTAGATTCCCGCCTGCCCCGGAGGTGACCACATGGCGTGGCAGACCTCTCCTGACCCGTCTGCTGCTCCCCTCAGCAGTGTACTTCATCGATCTGCCTGTTCTGCTCCCCACTCTGTCTCTGGTGAAGTCTTTCGCCACCCCTGAGTCTCTGGCCTGTACCCCAGTTCTGTATGCACAAATAAATAAATCTTTAAAAAAAAAAGTCTAAAACTATGGGACTTTAAAAAGGCTAAGATATGCAAATGCATCAGAAGAGAGAAGAGAAACAAAACACAAAATGTGAAATTGCAGACTTAAATCATAATTTGTCAATCATTATATTAAATGTAAAAACATTATTAAAAACTAATCATTAAATACATAGTTAAAAGGGATTGATAGAATAAATTAAAACATAACTAGATACTTCAAATACAACACAGCAGGTGGAAATTAAAATAAAAAATGTCATTGAAAGTAAGTATATATTAGTGACAAATAAAGTCAACCACACAGCAAAGAAACTACCAAAACCAGAGGAACATAATAATAGAAAGATCAATGTATCAGAAAGGGATACACAACAATCCTAATGCTGGGTACCTACGCACAAGCAGAACTGTAACTATAAAGCATAAAGTGACAGACCTTTAAAGTGAAAGGAAATACAGACAACCCACAACTAGAGCTGGCAACTCCTGTCAATAACTGACAGAATCATTAGTAAGAAAAATCAACAAGAATATAGAAAACACCACTAATCAAAAGGATTTAACTGACATAGAATTCTCTATTTTATGAATGGAGAACTGAATAGATTTCAAGTGTCCATAAAACACACACCAAGTTATAGAAATGACTTCTTGAACCAATATCTCAGTATTACCATAGTGCATAAAACAAGAATTTGTTCATTACAGAAATACTATTTTAGGGTATATAAAATATCATTTTATAGTATTACTAAAATACTATTTTAGGGCATATTAGCTTTATAATACCTATAATTGATTTTCATATTTCTTGCTATATGACATTATTTATTATTATAGTAATAATTTTCAGATTATCTTCAATCTAAAGATTAGTATTGGCCCTCCCTGGTGGCCAAAGGGATGAAAAAGCACAGTACTATGAAGCTATACACAGCTGCTGTACGAGTTCAATACTCAGCCAGGGAGGTGATCCACTCGGTGAAGCAGACCTCTCCTGTCTCACCTATTGCTTTTAGCAATATATGTCAGACAGTCCTCTTGTTTTGTTCCCCACTCTGTCTCTGGTGAAGTCTCTCACTCCCCAACACCTCTGGCCTGTACCCTAGTTTTATATGCATGAATAAATAAATCTTTAAAAATAAAAATAAATGAAAATCAGTCTGACATACTCCACAAACTAATGCTTTTAAAATCCGAAGCCACTGCCTGCTATTATTTTATATTTATGTTTAATATTTAATGCCAACCATATGTTGTAGGACATCAAATAATAGAATACTTACCAGATCCCATGAGAGCACAGGTAAGGACCATCGAATTATATTTGATTTCAGGAGCACTTAATTCATCTGCTAGTAGTCTGTGTAAAATCTGTACAAGTTTAGCACTTTCTAAATCTTTCTCAGCAGTGCCTAAAATATGAAGCAATGGAAGTATCAATTATATCCACTATGTATGAACCTGTACAACCTAGCTAAATCAGCTTTTCTTTCTAGAAAGGAAGCATTTGAAACTTTCCAAAGGGAGTGATAATAATGACCTAGATAAATGATGTTACCACAAATTCAGACTTTGTTACAAGTGAAGAGTTAACTAGAATTCAGCAGACATTTCAGGAGTTTAGGCTTAAAACTCACTATTAAAGCATTCCTTTAAGAGTTAAACATTAAATGTTTGCAAAATGTCAAACAAACCTGTACAAAGGCAGAAACGATGGTATAATAGCACATTATGTACTATTATGAGTTATCTTTATCACAAGTATCAAAATGAACACCAAATATTGATGAGGGATGAAGAGAAAAATTACTCAACAAAAAGCTAGTGGGAATGTAAAATGATGTCTACTCTGGAAAATGTGTGTTTCTTAAAATTAAGCAACCACCATGAAACACAGCAACTGTACTCTTAGAGAAATGAAAATGTATGGTCATGTAAAGCCTATACATGAATATTCATAGCAACTTTATTTTTAAACTGGAATCAGCCCAGATGTGCTTTAACAAGTGAATAGATAAACTAATTTCATTATGTACATAACATTATTCAGAAGTAAAAACCTCTGAACTATCAATAAAAACAAATTGAATGGGCAAATGAGCAAAAATAAAGTAAATTCTAAAGAGACACCATACATAACATTTTGAAATGAAATAAATCTTGGAAAAAGAGGGGTATATAAGTTGTTTCCAGTGGCTAGAAGCAATGTAGGAGGTAGCAATTAGAGGTACTGGGTATAGCTTATAAACAGAGATTTTTGTAATGCTGAATACAGCATCTTAACTGTGGTGGTGTATACAAAAATTTTGGAAGTCATAGAACTAGACAGAACTTGATATACACAACAGGAAATCTAAAATAAGTAGGTAAATTATACTGATGGCTGAGATATACAACATGTTTTATAAAAATGTTATCATTGAGAGACTGGGCAAAGTAGGCAAAAATTTTCTATTATTTCTTACATCTAATAAAACTCTACATCTACAAAGTTGTTTTAATACTTTGAGCTTGACAAAGAGTCCATTTGTCTCAGCGTAAAAATTATGTACATAATCACTGGGATATAAGAGGTGATCAGTAGACATTAATATTCAAATGGTTCATTTGAACTGGACCAGTCATGCATACTAAGTTTATAGTGTTTATACTAAATTTATACATTTTGTAAGAATTCCTTAATATCAAACAGCTTACAAGGATACCAAACAAGAGAAATACAGTTTTCAAATGTGCTGTGTTTTAAAAGGCAGTATGGATTAAATGTCGTACCTTATCTTAGGTCAAGAACCCTAGGGAACACTGATTGGTAACAGAAATGTACTTACTGTCATTTTATATAGTTTTATGAGATAAACTGAGCAGACCCAGGCAAATATATACTGATAGGAAGCTTGTTTGGAAGATATTAGTTATGAAGGGATTAAAACCAGATGCACCCCATGCTGGGAGGGCAAGGAATTGCTTCATCACTTTTGTCCTTTGAAAATAAGATCATGGACCCACTATATTATAAAATGTCATCATCATTCTCATCTCTTTATCACAGTCTTTTCACCTTAAAGGTGTCTGGATTTCTATATTGACCTACATAGTATAGTCTTTTGGTATTTGGGAAATCACAGGGTTTGATCTTACCTTCATAGCATCTCTAATGATAGACCAAAGTCACCAAATATTTTCTTGAAGGTTTTTAAATTAAAAATTCAAATAAATTATACACCCTACTTATAGTAAATCTTTAATAGATTGTTTAATAGATTGTTTTAAAATTTACAACACTTTAAGAGAGCTAAAGCTCAAATCTTCCATATCACAAATCTGAGTAAATCTGAAACTCATGGCAGATACACTAACCTTAACTTTTAGCTTGACAAATGAGTCCATTTGTCTCAGTGTAAAAATTACGTACATAATCACTGGGATATAAGCGGTGACCAGTAGACATTATTACTCAAATGGTTCATTTGAACTGGACCAGTCATGCGTACTAAGTTTATAGCTCTCCTTGTGTAAGGGCAGCCACAGCTTTTAACATAGGATATGTGGCTCTAATTGACTCCAGTTGTATCATAATTGGTATCTGAGCCACAGACTGATATCATAAACTGGATGTCTATGGGCTATATTTTTACCTGAGGAATTCTGAGCAACAAAGTTGCTATATGTTAGACAGAAGAAAATAACTGAATTATTTAGACTTTGCTTTTGAATGTGATATACACAGCTGAGAATTTAGAATAAAGGCAAAGCTATAAAGCAATAGAAACCACAGTGATAGATTAACGAGAAAATCAATAGTAGAAATGGAAGTCTGTAACATTGATAGAGTAGCAAACTCTATATTTGTTGTTCCCTTATATTTTCTTTTCTTCATGAGGCCTGCTGAAAATGTTTTTTGTTCTCTAAATGAGATAATGTTTATGATTCAAACTAACTTTAAAACACTGCCCTGAAAATGATATCAAAAGCATAACTAAAATGGACACCTATGGTGACAATCTAATGATATGTTCCAAATAATTAGATATCAATACAGACATTGGTATTTGCCAGGTTCAGTCTGACTTCTATTTCACATCTTTGCTTCCTTCAATCCAAAATAATAACAGAGAAAATGAGGCAATCACTGGTGTACTTACCCAATTCTAAAGCTGCTATAAGTGCCAGAGCAACAAGAGCTTCATTCTGCATTATCACATGTTCACTAGTTGCCATAGCAACTAGATGCTTGATACCACCACTCTGTACAATGGCTTTAATTACATCCTACATGTAATATAAATAAATATGCTTAATTTTAAATCTAAAGAATCTCCATTTACAGTCGAATCATTAAGTTGAGTGATTTTTTTCACAGCATCCTATATAAATCATTACATTTAAACTTAATTTTTTATTCTTCATTGAAGAAATTTATAAATCCTTTATTTTTAAATAAATTCATTAAGATATGACAAATTATCTAAATGAAAAAGGTCATTGCAATTCTTATCAATGAGAAGACAGAATAAAATTAGAATTAAAAAAGTTATTTTCTCAAATACTTTAATAGCATTAGAAAGTTATTCTCCACATGCTCTGAATAAAGTGCCTCACCTCCCACCTCTTTTGGTAGATTTTACCCTTTGAATGGATATGACAAATTTGAGAAGTGGATTATATACAAAGAGATATGAATAGAACTTAAATGAAAAATTTCTGTTTTCCTCTTTTCTTACGATGACTATTCACCAATGGCAATAGAAGCAGTAGGTTTAAGATAAAATAAGCAATTTTATATCATCTAATATTACCTATATTATGACTATAGCTGTATTATCCAAAGGCAATAGAGGCAGTGGGTTTGAGACAAATAAGCAAATTATTGCATATCAGTGACTTTATTCATGTTGGAATACAGTACATGTATATCTTGTAGGTTTTATGTTACAAAGTTATCACATTTATAGCATATATAAAAAAGAAAACATGGAAAAGTTAAGATTAAAAATGGTTACATTTATTTCCACTTTTTTCTTCATCCCATTGAGGGCTTTATTGCCTTAAATACCTTGGATTAAACACAATTTAATGGAAAGTCTGAGTAAGACTATTTTTAAGTTTTCTTTGCTATTTAGTTTTAAGATTTTGAAGTAGAGATTTTGTAATCTCCCAGAGGACAAAGCCTGATGTGACTTAAGCTATATAAAACTAACTATAGTTAGAAATATTTTTCAAACTAATTTTCTAGAACATTTGGGAAAGGGTTTCCTTTATGCTTTCATCATACGTAAATTTTTAAGAAATTGTCATGAAATATCTACACGGTATCTTTGCATTGTGCTTACATTGATTAGTGATCAAATGTCATATACTCAGTTTTAATGGGAGTAATGTTTCAGCATCTCAGAAGACCTTTCTCACTGACCTCTTTTAGAAAGTGAAAAATTATCATTAACTCCTTTTTAATGAAAAGAATATACTGTTTACTTCATGGTAGTTTATGTGAAATTGATGCAGAAGTCTTAAAATTAGTTAAGACTTTCATAAAAACAAATAACTTATAAAATATAACACAAGAGATATGTAATCCTAGGAAAGGCTCCTAAGTTGTTATTTCATATTCTATTTTGTGATTCATACTGAAAATTTCACTTTAGTTCACAGAGAATGAGTGAAGGAAATTTGTGCACCAAAGATAAATAGTCTCCCTTTAACCTAAGCCCCTTACTTTTCATTCTCTCATTATTTTCTACTAAAATACCCGCCTTTTCTCCCTCTACTTCAAATGACACTTACTTAACAGTTTATGGAATACCTTATGGAATTTCTTTCTCAAACAAAATGAAAAATTAAAAATAAGTGGTTGTAGTACTGCATTCATGAGAAAAAAAGAATTAAAATATAGTAGTTACCCATTACAGACCATCAGATATACCCTTGATAGTTTGCAGATACTACCTAATTTTTATCCTTACCTGAAATCCTACTTGTTAGATAGTCCATTTTATAAATGAAATTGAACCTCATATTCAGTTACAAAATTTGCCCAAAGTCAGTGATTAACTGGTAAAAATCAAAAATTCAGATTCAGACAGTCTGACAACCAAGTATGTATTCTTACCCACTTGTGATCGATGCAAAATACATGTACTGAATTCATCATAGTGGATACAAAGATAGTCACTTAGTCTGATCTGAGAAGACTCTATAAATATATCTGAGGTATAGGTAAGATGCAGAACCTCCACTGTCAGGGAGCCAGAGTGTCCAGAAACCTCCTGACTTTGCATGAGAGCCAGTAAGGCCCCATATAGACCAGCAGACATCTTGCAGCACCTGCCTGAACATGCCAGTGCCTGCTCAAATGTTGGATTTCTGCCAGAAAAGTCAGAGCCCTGGTGAGATGAAACCAGTTCCTACCCAGACCAGCAAAGGCTTTGTAACCTGCCAGAGGACAAAGCCAGTGCAGCCCAGATTGCAGAAGTCTTGCTATTTCTACGGGGCCCCTGGCCCTACAGAGTACTTACAACTTCTACAAGATTCCCACCAACACCTGCACAAACTGGTAAAACCACAGATCTTACCAGATCTGGCTCAAGGAATGAGCCAGAGTGGCCAGAGCCCTCACACCCATCCATGTGACCCCAACGTAAGATTGTACAGGTAGGTGAGAACACTGACTAAAGAGGGAGCAGGAACCATGCCCATAGGAAACCCAACATACAATAGCAAAGTTCCAAATATATCAAATGGCAGGAAAAAAAAAAAAACTCAAAAAATGGCACCCTGAGTGCCCACGTGACAGAGAACAACAGAGAGAGAACAAACTACTAGAACCCCAATGATAAAGAAATTCAAAGAAATCAAAGAAAATGTAGAAAAACAAATGAATATCTTTAGAAATTACATCAACAAACTGAAGGGATGACATGAAGCTCTAAATAAGATAAAAATGGAGGATATCAAATGAGAAATACATGAGATCAAAAACTCAAGACAAAGATGTGGAAGTAGAATAGAACCAAGTTCTAGCTACTAAAAAATTCAACCCAGCAATTCCACTCCTAGGGATCTACCCAAAAGACACAAAAACACTAAAAAACACTAATTCATTGTAGCACTACTTACAATAGGTAAATCCTGAAAACAACCCAAATGCCCAAAACTAGATTATTGGATCAAGATTATGTATTTTATATATATATATGTGTGTGTGTGTGTGTGTGTGTATGTGTGTATATATATATGTATATATATATATGTATATGTATATATATATATATTATGTGGTATATAATATATATATATATTGCACACACACATCACATAATATATATATGTGTGTGTGTATGTGTGTATATGTGTATATATGTGTACTATATATATATATGTATATATATGTGTATATATGTGTGTACACACACACAATCGAATACTACTCACCAATCAAAAAAGATAAACTCATGCCATTCACAGCAACATGGATAGAATTGGAAGGGATTATGCTCAGTGAAATAAGTCAGAAGGAAAAAAATATATCAGTTTCACTTATAGGAGGAATTTAAGAGAACCAAGTAAGACATGGTGGGGGGGGGAGTGTATTGTTATTATAAAATACAATACAACAAAACAAAAATATACTTATAACCAGAGAGCTCCTACAGTGGAGGGGAAGGAGGGATCAGAAGGAGGGAGGAATGTGGGGGACTACGGTGAGGACAGTGGGGGAGAGTGATAGCAAACACTAAAATGAACAACAATGTTCATTTTATTTTATATATATATAAAATAAAGAATAAAACCAAGTGGAACAAGGAGTCAGTGAAGAGGCAGCTGTACAATCAACTTTGGTAGAGAAGGAAAATAAAATTAAAAAAAAAAAAAAGAAATGGCTGAGAACTATTTAAATCCATGAGAAAAGGCAACATAAGAATAATGAGAATTCTGGGGCTGAAGGGACAGGGAGAAAGAGGAACAGAAAATGCATTGAAAGAAATAATGGAGGAAGGTTCCCTTCCTGACCTTGAGAAGGGAAAAGATATATAAATATAGGGAGGTAAAAAGATCCACAGCATACTTAAATAAAATGTGATCAACTGCAAGACATAAAAGTGAAATTTCTAAGATTTAATATAAAGAAAGATACTGAAGCTGGCAAATGTATGGAAGGAGATAATAACTAAAGCTACTTTGATGAAGCTAACATCAGACTTCTCTGAAGAAACACTGAATGAAGAGATATGGAATGGTGTATTCTGAACACTTAAAGAGAAAACCTTCCAGCCAAGAATATTCTATCCTGCTATCCTCATCATATGTGAGGAAAGAATCAAGGCCTTTTGAGACACAAAGACGCTCAAGGATATTACAAACACTAAACCACCTCTCCAAAAATATTGAAAGGTGCTTACACATTTAAATTAAAAAAAAAAAAGGAACATACACAAAGAACTAAATAAATAGACTGAGCCACAAAAATTAAGAATAAAATGGCAGCAATGAACAACCACATATCAATAATGACTAAACATAAATGGACTGAACTCACCAATTAATATACACAGAGTATCCAGTTAGATCTGGAAACAGAATCCAACCTCTGCTGTCTCCAGTAGACACACCAAAATTTCAAAGATAAACTTAGCTAAAAGAAAAGGGTTGGAAAAACAATCCTAACAAGCAAGTAAGTCTCTAAAGAAAGCAGGGATAGCCATACTTATATCAGACAAAATAGATTTCCAGTTTAAAAGTCTCAAGGGATACAGAAATATTGTATAATGATTAAAGAGAACAGAAAATCAAGAAGTCAAAACACTTAGCAACCAAATGAAGGAGTGTACCAAAACATATTATTAGGCAACTACTATCAACTCTGAAAACAAACACTGTAAATGACATATTTGTAATCATTTGTGGTCACACCCCACTCACCAATGGATAGAAAATAAACAGGATACAATAATAGCCTTAAGTAGAGAATTAGACCTCTTGAACCTTATTGACATATACAGGATACTTCACTGAAGGAAAGCAGAATACAGATTTTTCTCCAGTGCACATGGGGTATTTTTCAGAATAGACCACACTTTGGCAGGTAAAACAAATAACAATGATCTCATGCAAACTGAAATAAAACCCAGCATTTTCTCAGGCCAGAACGTTCTCAAAGTAGAAATCAACTATCATAACAACTCTTTTAGTATAGGGAGACTGAACAAAATACTGCTGAAGGACCACTATGCTAATGAGGATATCAAAGAAGAAATTAAAAAATATGGTTAAGC